GAGAGAGAGAGAGAGAGAGAGAGAGAGAGAGAGAGAGAGAGAGAGAGAGAGAGAGAGAGAGAGAGAGAGAGAGAGAGAGAGAGAGAGTAACATGCTGGGGGAAACCGACTTTTCCCTACTGCCCCCAGGGCTGCACGCCCCTTCAGTCCGGGCAGCCTGGACGGCCACGACCCTTTTCTAGATTTTGAAACGGTTTTCACCTCTCAGCAGTAGCAGATGCAGTACCCAGGGTTCGATCCCTAGACCTCGCCTTCCCCATGTACAGTACCCTTGTAGACCCCGAGAGTCGAACCTGTGACCTGTGTATTCGTAGACAGTTGATAGGTCTGTCGTAGGTCCGTAGGTAGCAGGGGTTCGATCTGTAGATCTATAGAGTAGAAGTCTTAGTGAGTCCAGAAGCTTAGCTGTAGTCCTAGAAGGTAGGCAAGTGGGCAAGTGGTCAAGTGGCGACGCAAGTGGTGGACTAAACTGCAGTGCAATTGCAGTACGTCGTCGGTAGGATAGCAGTGAGTCCACAGACAGTCAGCGGTAAGGTCCAGTCAGTCCCAGTTCGGTCCAGCAAGTACCACGGGGGACTGTGCACACCATGGGCCGATGGCAAAGGGCAGACCAACGAGTTTTCGAAGTATAAATCAAGGGGCAGCGCCCAGCCTTTCATTCATTCCTGCGTGAGCCATGCGGAAGCGCTGCCACAGCGACTTGTGCAAGGAGGTCTGCAGATGAGCCCGGAGGACGCAGTGGGCGAGACAGAAGGAGCTTAGTATAGCGATAGGGTAGAGGCAGCCATAGATGCCATAACTGTAGTTAGTAGGAAGTGTGTGTGTGTGTGTTCGAGTGTTCAGAGTGATGCGTGTGGGATATCCAGGGTGATCCAGTGTATGTGAACAGTGAGTTGTTTGGGCGCTGAGTCGCCATAGCCAGTTGAGAGTGAACTCGTATCTGGAAGCCATATCTCTGAGTTTTGAGTGGGCGCATGTCGCCAGTTGCTGTGCTGCTGTTTACATGCATGAAAAGTGTGAATGAGAACGAGTCTGATTGCAATTTATGTGTGTCATCCATGCCCAGGGGTTTTGCTAATCTTCCCTGTATTGTACCAAGTTCAACGGATCTGCAGAATGACTGGAGGGCCACGGCCTTGTTTTTAGGCTGGGGTCTATTTTTTTGCCCCATTCGCTATGTATTATTCTCAGTATTTATTTATTATTCTGATGCTGATTTTGTTTGCAACCGAGTCTGTCTGGTCCGATTTTTGTTTGTTCCAGGTAGCGACTCTTCAAGCTTTTTATTTTCTCCAAACCGGCACCAGTGCCTGTTTGGACCTGTGGGCCACGCTTGGCTTTTGTAGGGCAGGTGCATTCCCAACCATGAGCGGACTGGAACAGTCACCTGTCTGTAGAGCCTGGCCCAGCCCCAGTTCCTTCTGCTCTTGCCCAGCTTTATCAGCAGGGCCGCCTGGACGTCCAATAGGGACCCAGACAGGCTGAGTTAGGCCAGGGACACTGGACCAGGACTTGGGGCTGCAATCACGAGCATCGATCGGATCTTAGATCAAATGCTCCTGATCACAGACCGGAGGCAGCACCACAAGGCCCACTGGTATATGGCTGGACCAGTCCTTACAGTTGGGGACAGACTGCTGGAGGTTCATTCTGGCGACGTGCTGCTGGAGAACAGCGCTATTCTGGGAGAACTGCATTGGAGTCAGAAGCGGAGAGGAGTTGGACAGTAGAGTGGAGAGGGAGGAGGTGTCCACAGCAGCAAAGAGTGGAGGGTACTTACCTGGGCGCCATAGCTGGGACTTCACACAAGTCTAGGAACGGCCTTCATGAGCGACCTACATCAGCTTGAGCCACTAGTTCTTCATGAGCGACCTGCGTCAGCTTGAGCGTCATCATCCGAGAGGGGAAGAGAGGGAGGAGAGCTTCTTCTTCTTCTTCTTCTTCTTCTTCTTCTTCTTCTTCTTCTTCTTCCGCCGAGAGAACAGAGAGTGACTACTTCGAGCAGTGCGATGCCCAGGACTCAGACTCGACATGTTGGGGGAGACAATTGTTGGGACATTGTTGGGACATTGTTGGGACATTGTTGGGACATTGTTGGGAGGGACATTGGCAGCTACTTCGAGCTACTCTTTCTGTCGTCTTCATTCTTTCTTCCTCCACCTTCGTTGCTTCCCCACCTCCATCATCTATGGTCTTCCTTCCCATCTGTATGCAAGCAAGGAGGGACCTTTCGTCCAATGATGCACACCCTCCTTGCATCTCTGTATGTGTGATAATGGATGGGTATGCAGAGTCGTGAGTCTGTATGAGTCAGATCGCTATTTTTAGTCTTTGGCTGTGCTCCATTGCTCTACATTGCACTGTGACATTAAAACAAAAAGAAAAAAACAAAAAGAGTTCAAAGTGGCCTGAGGTCAAAAATGTTGCTACCCGGACCACGGACCAACCCGGACCCATCCGGACCCGAACCCAAACCACTGGTCGGTCCGGTTATGATCTGGGCATCCATATTTCCAGACACATCTGGACCGTCTGGACCTGGTCATGATTGGTCCAGATGGTTCACATCGTTGTGTCCAGATTCGTCCGTATTAAAAAAAAAAAAAAAAAAAAAAAAAAAAAAAAAAA